CGACCTGAGGGAGCCGCCTCCGCCCTCCCGGGCCGGCATACAGCGCCCCCGCGCGGCCCCGCCCCGCAACGTCCCAAGGAAGCGCAGAGGCTCCGACGTTCACCGAAAAATCGTTTATTGCATTTAAGAAAGGGGGTCTGACTTTCCACAGGAAAGAACTACGTTTAGAACAGGTGCGTTACAAACAGCAGGGTGAGTTAATACGAGAGCCAGAGTGATGAGAAAAGGTTTATTACAACTTAATTCTGCATAATTTAAGAAAAAAAATCCTTTAAAACTGTTAGCTGTAACACAGATTCTTTTATAGTATAAAATCAAGTTGCCAGTGTATGTATCAGTACCACACTTAAGAGTCTTGGGCTCTCATTGCTGATGGGCGCTCATCACAGCCCACTGGGGCCGTCAGGAGCCCCATGAGATCTGTCCACTTCTCAGGGTCAGCCCAAGCAGCACCAAGGTTTCTACAGAGCGAAGTTTAGCACTCGGAGACAAAGCATGGTGAGGCTCTTCTAGTTTAAATTTCATAGAAATTTACAGCTGTAAACTGGAGAAAGCACTTACACATCTAAGCATGCCTCATAACATGCTTTGGACACAGAATTCCTGAACTGCTCAGCTCCCTATGGATGACTTCAGCTATATTTAAAAAAACACTTAAGCATTTCAGAAATCATTCAGAAACTGGAAGATTAAAATTGGCCTCTTCATCGAGAGTCTCTTCTGTGAATTAAGATATACACACTGCGTTTCTATTCAGTAACAAACTGAGGAATCTTGAATAGTTCGGGAAACCCACACAGCTTTACCCGGGTTTTCTAATCTCCTGAAAACAGACAAAATCCAGCCGTGGGATTGTGTGAAGTCTGTATTTGTTACCTGCCCACAGGAGGAAAAAAAAACCACCACCAAAACGTGGGAGGAACAGAATGGATTGTAGACTGAAGCACTGGACTACTTAGCATAAAATGCACCAAGAATTGTAGGGGGAGAAAGAAAAGGAAGGAAGATCACAAACTGAGAATGCCCACTGAATGGAAAAACTCATTAGATCCGTGCGCTCCTGAAGCTCATTCTCATGAAAAGCAGAGGCTGGAGGAAACCAGCTGTCAGCCAGCAGGACTTTTGCTCCTGGCAGAAAGCGACAGAAATAAAAAAGGCATCTAAATGACTATTAATGAGGTACTCCAAAATCAGTAAAAAGTTTCTGACGGTGTTCAAAGTTCACTTTCTGCTCATTTTCATCACTATTGTGTTATTCTCCTCAGTACTGTTGTGCTGTGTTACCATTTATTAAGTAATCTAGATGGGGATAAAGTGTTCTAGTATAATGTAATCGATAATGTAATCAATTCAAATAAATTGATTAAGTAGTTTAATTTTATCTCACCATACTCTCTTCCAGTTAACACCAGGATGGCTGCTCTGTGAGCCTATGGAAACGGGGGCGGGGGGTGCAACAATACTTGCTCACAGGATTTCTTCACAAAATTACTGTAATCCAGTTAGGAATAACCACAAAAGATGCAGAACTAAAATATTTCAGTATGTAAAAAAGTAAAAAACTTTAAAACAGTAGTAGCTTCAGTACAAAATTGCAAATATATGTAGCAAAAAAAAAAAAAAGAGGTGCCTGTTGTTGAAATTAAAAGTCTATTTAAGAGCAGTTCAAACATATCACAAACTTTAAAAAGTACATCTCTGAATGAAGCAAAGGTTATGGGCTTGCACGAGGGTAACTAGACAGTTGATTTAGGCCTGACCAGCATTAAAAAAAAAAACAGACACGTGCACTGGCTTAAATAAATACATTTTAAACATGATAAACCCTATTTACTCAGTTACTGAAATTTACCTACAGAAAATAATCTTGAATTACAAGGCATAGAGTTAATTGCTGCCTGCAAGTCAAGCCCACACTAAAGGCCTACTACTAAAGTAAAGGCAGAACGTGGTGAGTAGAGGTTACCTCACTGAAATAATCCCACGCCCTCACAGCCTGCAGGGCACTGTGGTAGAAGCCACATCTGGAACAGCACTACTTCTACGAGTGCAAAAGACGCAAAGACACCCCAGGCAATGGCACTTGGTGAAGAAAAATATGCAGAGTCTCTAGGCTTCTGCAAACACCATGCATAACAGGTGTTTTGGTATTGCCCACAATCAGGCAACGTATGGAACTCAGTGTTGGTTCACTAGCCACATACACCAGTATTTGGATTAACTGCAGTTTATGGGGTTGCCGTTTGCTAAAGCAGTACCAGCACGAGCATACCTCAGATATACAAAAATTGCAGTTAGTGTCAGCATCAGTTACACCAGCTGAAAAAAGGCACATCCTCTTCAAAGAGGTGAATTAGGGCACAAATATGAATGTTTCTATCCACTTGGTATTTTTGCCCATATCACATAAAGCAAGGTCAAATTAACACAAGATCCCCAATAATCTTGTTGATGTATTTTCATTATCCTGCTAAAATGAGGCTTTTTTTCTGCCCAGGGTATACAGCAGCGCAGTTTTGCATGTGTGGGAATCGCAAGAAAGCAAGTTCTGAATTACCAATTGAGGCTGCATCCGGACAAAGACAGCACTGTCAACTTCAGACAACAAAGCCCAGTCCAGCACCATTGGTTTCACACAAAGTATCTTTGAAGCATCCTGCTTTCATACCACAAAGCTGTAAGGTTAAGTCTAAGGAGGTTTCATGCGCTCACTCCTCAGCTGGTCCCGGAATCACACATAAAGAACAGTGCACATCCTGAAAATAAAAGCCAGCTGCCACTCACTAGAGCCACTAAAGAAAGTTAAAAAGTACGTAAATAGAACTTTAGTTAAAAGAGTTTATAATAACTTATCACCTAGTAGAGAGGAAAAAACTGCCCAGGTTAACCTATCCAGTGACTGGCTAACCATTACAAATTTAACTGAAACCATCACTGAGTTGCCAGGAAGAAACGAGGGTTCCTGATTCCTGTAAACAGAACCTCCAAATTTTCTGTCAGTGTTCTCCCAGAAAAACAACAAAGGAATTTGCCATTAAAATCTCAGGTGGTGGCCCCAAGAACATTAAGAAGTGAAGCAATGAATTCCTCAAGAGCAAACAGGCTGCTATCAAGAGATCACACTGAAAATCTCATTTTGATAAGTGTCATCCCAACTACCTCAGTCAGTCCGAGAAGGTAACTATTAACTTTATTCTCAGGGTGCAAAGTCTCTTTGGAGAGTGAAATAAAAACTCAGTTTAGAAGATTATGGAAGACTTGCATCTAAGTTACTCTTCCACCTCTCCAATTCAAAAGTATGAAAATCACTCATTTGAGCGATTCATCATTATCCGAAGTTCCTTATACTAGGAGGAATCAGCTCCTGCTTCTATTAATAAAATCATTGCAGGTGTTCCCTGGGTCTTGCTCATTGCATTAAACATGCCTTATGCTAACTCTTCATATAAACATCACACTTCACTATAAGGTGAATCTCAGTACTATTTCAGGCATTTTTGCATGTAAACAATTGTTTTCAAGCTTTAAATTGACAAAGTAAAACAACTGGACAGCCAGACTTCTGTTTGTAAAACAAATTCAATCAGTAAATAAGGGATGGGAAAAGCAGCAGCTATGCTTAAAGCAAAGCTATCAGAATTTGTGCTTTTCAGCAAATCTAGTAACTGATGGCTATCTAGTAAAGAAGTCTGGCTTCAAAGAAGTCCCTTCTTTCATTTTCCTCCACTAAATAAGGACAGAAGCCAAGTGATCCCTGGAGAAGCTGGAGACTGGAACTTTAGAAATAAAGTAGATATTTGACCTCTCAGTTGGAAAAAAATGTTCTGTTTCAGTTTCCCTGAAGCAGTAAGACTGCAAGAATATTCGTTGCATAAACCATTTCTGCTTAGAGCTGCCAGTGCAAGATGCAATTCTTCAATTTAACCCAAAGAGCCCTCCAAGATTCAAGTCAATATTCAACTTCGAACATCCATCACCCGAGGTAACTACAATAAGACACATTTTCTTGTGTTCTTCTTTGTCACAGGATACAGAACTGCACGCACAGCTTCAGCAAACACCTCCCGAACACCCTCCTGATTCAACGCTGAGCACTCCAAATATTTGACTGCTCCAATTTGTTTAGCCAGCGAAGTCCCCTGCTGCGGGGTAGTGGGAGCCAAGCTTTGCTCTTTCAACTTTTTAACTGTTTCCAGGTCGTTTCTCAAGTCTCTCTTTGTGCCCACTAAAAGAATGGGAACATTTGGACAGTGGTGAGAAACTTCAGGATGCCATTTGTGCCTCACATTTGCATAGGAAGAGGGGCTACCGATGGAGAAACAGATGACGAATACATTGGTTTGAGGATACGAGAGCGTGCGCAGGCGGTCATATTCCTCCTGGCCTGCAGTGTCCCAGAGATTCAGGCTAACTGTCCGGCCATCAACAGTCATTTGGGCACTGTAGTTGTCAAACACAGTAGGGATGTACTCTTCTGGGAAGGCATTGGTGGTATAGCTGATGAGAAGACAAGTTTTTCCCACAGCGCCATCTCCGACAACTACGCACTTTATAGTCTGCATTCTTTACCCAGAAACAGTCCTGCACAAAACAAGAAAAAAAGTTAGGAAAAGCACACTCAATGATAGTAATTTTAAAGATAAGCTTTAGCAAGTGTTTTTAATACTGCAATTTCTTATCACAGCTAGACACACTCAGTGTCTCAGAAGCCATTATGAAGAGCTCACAGGCTAGAAAGACAATAGTGAAATGCAGATGCAATGAGTTGAGAGCTCAGTGACAACTGGCTGCATTCCAAGCATGTAAGTACAAATTAGCCAAATTCCCACAGTCTTGATTTACTGCCAGTTTCCCACAGGCAAAGGGACAAGTCCTTAGAGGTACCTGCAAGTGGAAAGGTATCATGACCTCAGATCTAGTAACAAGATACTCTGTCATTTGTAGGTTCACACGCACACCTCTGTACACACACACCCTCCAAGATTCACACTTCTTGTCTACATAGTCTACTGCCTAAATAGCTTACCACAAAGAAAAGTCCAAAAATTATATGATAAACCAAGATACCCATTGCTGGGCTGCACTGCTACTGTTTACTATAATAATTCACTCAACGCAGGATCCATCAGACCTCAAGAAACTGCATTATTTAGAGGACACCAGATAAAAGGTTCAGAAAGTAGCATGTACAAGAAAAGCTGTTCTTTGAAATATAACTAGCCATAGGACCCAGGTTACAATACATAAAGAATTTTTCTAAAGAAGCCAAGAACAGATTATTCTCACTAATCAGTGACAGAACAAGCAGAACTTAATAGGCTTGAGCTACAATAGAGCTTATACTGAGCATTAGAAAAATACATGCTCTAAAAGATCAGCAAACAGCCTTCCTAGGCAGACTGGGGAATTGTTACAGGAGATATTTCACACTTAAAGGCTTCCCTATCCCCTTCCTGATATGTGAACCAGTTGCCCCTACACAACAGATACGGG